ACGCCTCGATAAGGTTGATGTTCTGGTCGGAGTTCGTAGGGATAGTAAGAACTTTGAAAGTTAAGACTCGAGTTCTTGGATTGTTTGTGTCGTCCAATAATATCTTTTCATTAGCAAATCAACCCAATAACATCATTGTGTTGCGCAAAGAAAAACACTAGTTATCTTAAATTTGGATTATTAAACCAAGTTAAATAGACTGTCTCATAAAAAATAATACATTTCTGTCACTTACCCCAGAAGGGCTGTGTCTGGGAGTTAAATTCCTAACTCTAATGTTACCTTCCCAGTGTTTTAGCCCTTCCCCTCTTCCATATCCTCGACTCTCCCCGCTTTCCAAGGGACGGGTGATAAACAAAAATCTAATAAATAGCGGTGCATTGGGATAGCCAGTGCGAACATGCGTTTTGCGCAATTTCGGTCAGTGGACGTTCGTCTCCTAGGGATTTTCACTTTTTTACACTTCGGTCTCTAAAAAAACACTCGGTATGCTGTCTGGTTTCTGAGCTGCAAAATTTCCCACCAAAAATTTCATGTACCAGCACGCAAAACACAAACGTCGTGGAAGCTGAATTTGAAATCTTGGGCGGTGAACATTGTTCCAGAATTTCAACCTCCTAGCTCTCTGGCTTCCGAGCAACTTTCGGAACAAAAATTTCACATGATTACACATGAGATCTACTCATGCTTAGGAGCCAAGTTTGAGCTTTTTAGGCCCCTACATAGGTAGAAAACATCCTCCTGAAGTTTTCAGCTTTGCAGCTGTTCTCACTTTTGAAGTAATTTATCCGTCATAACTCACGGCACCGCTTGTAGTTCCCAGGAGAAAGTGAAGGCTGGAATTTAAGCTTGCAATGTCACACATACGCGGGGAACATTACTGTAAAATTTTAGCTCCCCTAGCTTTCATGGTTTCCGAAATAGTAATTTCCTCCGCCAAAACTCCTACGGGGCCGAGGCCGTATGGACGCGCGAGGAAATAGCTTAAATTTTCTGAGTCGTAGGGAGGCAGGGACCCCTTAACATTTCAGCTTCCCAGCTTTCGTGGTTCTCGATATTAATCTCCCCTACCGGAATTTTCGCGGGGCCGTGCGTGGTACCCCAAGGCAAGCGAAGGCTGAATTTAACTTTGCAGGACCGAACATGGGCGAGGTACATTATACTAAAATTTCAGCCTCTTAGCCTCTCTGGCCTCGAGTTGAAACTATCGGATAAAATGCACTCGGAACATACACACACAGAGTTTTGGCTATATGCGTTTTGTGCAACTGTTAAAGCAGAAAAAGCATAAAAAGGAAGAGAACGGCCGAGGCCAGTAGACAGACAAACTCGCCCCCGCCGCTTAGTTCGAAGTAAGTTTATGCCGAAATACTAGGTTGAAATAGAGTGTAGTTTTTGGGCGCTTCCAAAAAAAAAGTTTCTTTTGGCGGTTCGGACAAAGGAGCGTGTTTTGCTGACTCAGGAAAGATGTCGTGGCATTAAGCAAGGGATAACCTTGTTATAATCTCGGGGTTTGCTGTGTTAATTTCTTTTGCAGAATACTAGCTGCAGGATACTAATAACTGATAAAGCTGATCAATTTATTTAGTGAACAGGAAAAATAACTCGTAAAAAATGTGTTCTCGAAGTCGGCTGTTTCTGTGTCCGCTAAGGAAATCAACGGGTTGTTTGACGGATTAACCTCGTTGTATTTTCAGCAAGCTTTCGCAGACGAAAAACAAGTGCTTTTTTTCCATATCAGAAAAAAAAGTTTTCTCCTTTACCTTTATATTGCAGGGATGATAACATAGTAAATTGAGGTACCGATGTATTCGTGCATAGGCTGACTGTACCTGTTGTTCGATGATTATTCCCCGCTCCAGTTCATTTTCCTTACTAATTTCCTTGCAGCATCACTGTCGTGCTTGTGGTAGTGTGGTGTGTGCTGCGTGCTCCTCACACAGTTATCGTATTCCAGTCAGCAAAAGGCCAGTTCGTGTGTGTGACGCTGTAAGTTTTCGCGATATTCTATTAAGTGCTCGTAAAAATTACATTTAATTAAGAATTATGCTTAATCTATCAGTTGATTGTGGAATTTGCAGTGCTTTGAGAAATTCGTATCGCAAGAAGTTAATACTACTGCTGCTGGAGATACTGATGTCGCTACTCCCGGTCAGGGCGTTTTACACGATGCATACAGTGATTCGGATGATGCCGAAGGTGGAAATCCTACCGCATATGACCATCAGGTATTGTTTTCGTCATGAATTATCGCTATTTGTCATAGCGTTTGGCCTGTTGCAAAAACATTCCTGATTGACTGAATCAAAAGATTGACGCCGTAAGTATTCATAAGTTACGTAACACTACTTAGTAATTTTGATTATTCCAGCCGACATTCTACAGCAGATAGCATTGTACAGCTGATGGGAGACATAACAGAGATGATGGTCTTCCGAGGAATAACTTTTGAAATGTATGAAATTCCACTTGTCATGGCACACTTCACGTAACGCGAAAGAAATCAACTTTTGTATTTTGAGCTTTTATTTTGCGACACTTTTCATATCGAAAATGTGTTTGCCACGGTGCCTCTTCATTGATTATTCAGTCAAAACAAGTAAGGATTACTGTCACTTGTCTTTTTTGCATAATATTGCTGATTTGTAATGTATATAGCACACCACTGCAAGCATCAATTTCACCCGTCAGTAAACTGCTACTTTTAGTAAATTGCCGAGATCGTTCAACTTGTTTGGCATGCACTCTTCTGCCACATGCACACATAGCCAGGGCGGCTTTTAATCTTGGCCCACTCATCAGCAGTTGTCTTCAAAACGTACGCACAGTTTTTCAGAAATCAGTCGAGGTTTTTACCGGCACTCGCTGTTACTGAAGGCCTTCGTTTAATAGCAAAACAGGGTGCATGTGACGCCTGCCGACTTTTCTTGTGGTTATGGAGAGGATTGTGCATCCTGTGTGCTACTCATTTTTGTTGGGTTTTATCACACACTCTGTCTTC